AATAGAAAAAAACCAAAAATATTTAACTCTTTTAAAATGCAATTTACAACAAGAAATCTGCAAAAAGCGACGTGACCTGACTCATTTCTAAATCCATTTGATTGTAAGCATGTTTTAGGGCAGTAGAAAATAACAATTGCATTTTCGATCTCTCCCAACCAACAAGACATACTACACACATTGATGATTACTTCCACCAAGAGGCCGCTGACCTGACACGGCATCATAGAAGTCATCTTCATTGAGAGTACTAAGGTTGGAGGACTTCCGCCTTTTACTCAAGGATTGCTTGAGCTCGTGGTTCTCAGTTGCCAAAGTCTGCAAGGCTTCTGTTAGAGCTTTGTTCTTCTCCACTTCCTGCTCTACTTTCAGGCTCCACACCTGCAAACACAGGACAACCAGACAGAAGGTTAAAAGCGACCGAAGAGAGCGTGCCCAGAGCTACTAACTTAACATTTTATTGCAGAAAAACATTGCTCTTAAAAATGTGATGATCATAGTGGAACAAGCAGATTAATATTTTGATGTCAATCAAACATGACTCTCTGTCTGGGGTTTTGATCGCAGGCATTGTTTTAACCCTGCCCACAGATCTAGTTTCTTCCAGGCTGAACCAAACACCATAGTCTCAGAGAGCTCCGAAGCCCAGGATTGAGTGTCCCTTCAAAGGAACCTGAGCCAGGCCACTGCGTGACAGCCCAGATTAGTCTGTCCTATTGTCCACTGCTGCTGATGTTCAAGCTCTACCAACAGGAGTCGAAAACCCAGCAAATATCCACAGCTCTAACAAAATGACAAAAATAACACTAAAGCTTTAACAGCAACATATTATTTAAAAACAGGTAACACCTTTTACTTCTTGTAAATTCAGTTTAGTGAATTATTGCAAAATAAAGAAACTGAGCACAGCCTTCCCAGTTTGATAAACGTCCAGTGTCACCTTGAAGAAGGCAGCTGAGAAACAGGAGCTTGCAAATCACACTGCAAATCTGAGACTTGACAGCAAGGTCGGTATCTTCGACTAAAGATGAAAAGTTCTGTGTCATCTCTTATCGTGCCCGATGTGTTACAAGGTGAGCACACAGACATGCACAAAGACACAGCTACTGATGCCTAGGTAGCAATTTATGACTGTAATCGTGTATGTGTGGTTAACCCATTTCCCTTTGATCGAGTGTATTAGTCCCTGCGAGGATGTTGTCTGATTAACAACATGAATAAAAAGAAATGTAACATTTAGAAGATTTAGATGAGTGATTTTGCGTCAGACATCAGATTCTCATGACGTCTAATATTTCCTTTAAAGGGATGATTGGAAGAAAACTAATAACTTTTGATTATTTTCAAAAAATCCTCTCAAAAACATCAGCTACTATACTGCATATATAAAATGATTATATGATTGAACACAAAGACTTAAATATAAACTGCTTCAGATGCCTTTGTGGTAGAATCTGATCAAATCAGCCACATACACTTAACAGAAAAGAGGCAGGGAAAACCCAGACACATTTACTTACTTGCTGAATAGCATGCCTACTCCAAAGACCATGATCCAGCCATTTGTAATGAACATTGATTGTTTCCGATTGCCCAAATGTTGGGTCAGCACAACCGGAACTGCAACTTCCAGCTGGGTTATTATGGAAATTGCAGGGTTTAAAAAGGCATCACTGAAATCCAGTCAAATCCAATAAACTGTATGTAAATCCAAAAAAAAGTGACACGTTAAATGTTAAATTTGGAGATCTATGTATTCATTCAATATCTGATGAGTATATTTTCAAGACACCTTGTTTATTCAAATTTATCATCCTCTGTCAAGTTATAGTCCAGCTTATCTATAATGACCATCTATAGATCTGTACCGATGCACTTTCTCTAGAAACATAAGAACTACAACATGTTCAACATCCTTTTTTGTCTTGGTAACATGACAGACACTTATAAGCTCCTTTTGCAGGAGGTTGGTGATGGAAAATGGATAAAAATAAGACAACTGAGAAGTCTGCACAAGCTATAAGCTTTAGATCATTTATTATTTTGCCGTAGTCAGATGAAGATCTGATGAAGCTGTCACCAGTTAATGAAATGCCAGCACTGGCAAATCAGAAAATGACTATTTAACAAAAGGTGATAGCTTGGGTCAAATTTATTGTAATTTGTATTAGAAGCACAATTATATTCCTGTTCTGGTTCCCTCTGGTTTAACGCAAGGCAGACACAGTATTATTAGAAAGAATCACACATATTTTCAACAATTAGACATTAGAAGTAACGTCGAACATTTGGCTTCAGCCTGTCAAAGTGTGTAAAGGACCAAAAGGGTTTTTAAGAGTCTCGTGTACTTGACAATTTGACTGTGTGAAAGCCCCGAGACCTCAAAGTCTGTACATTTGTAAGCTTGGAGATTGGGACTGATCTAATCTAATCTAGTCCTGGGCAATTACTGGTCGGATCAGTAACGAATCCCGCAGGCTGCAGGTGTAGATCCATTAATTACTGTGTTGGCTAATAGAAAATTCCCATATACTTTTCATTGATCAGATCCATAACTAGGTTTAGCAAAGAGAGCCTCTCTGAGATCTCAGCACTCTCTATATTCTCCCTTCTTCTGCACTAGGGAACAAGTCTGGCAGCAAGTCTTTAAGTCTGGCACCTACATTTAAGGTTAACGTTTCCATTACAGCTGTGTTTCTGAATCTATGTTCATCTAATTTAGGACTTTAAATGCAGCATCATTTAAAAATGCATAAAAATAGTAAATTCTTTAGCATTATATTTTTTCTTTAAAGTTTGTGCAATGGGAATGTCTGCTGAATTGTGATTTTGTTTTCATCAAACATATTTGATAAATATATACTGTAGTTTAAAGGTGACTCATCTTCCTGTCTAGGAGCCTGTGTTAACACTCCCTGTCCCAGGCACTTGGCGTGAGAGCCCATCCAGGAATGGAACACTTGTGTAACCATCGCAGCCAGCTCTTTCATTCTCACTGCATCCTCTCGCCTGAGCACAAACAGTGCTATTTTAAGCCCTGCTGAGGCTCTGTGCTGTAGCTGTTACTGGAGCCTGGGAGGGATGCTTCTCCTTGGCCAGCACCCCAAAGGGTAAAAATTTTATTCTGTGCTGAAATATACTCTCTTGTTTAAAGAAAAGCAAACCTCAGAGGCAATATTATTATAGCTCTATACATTGGACTGTAACATTAACTCTATATCCAACTGTATTTGGAAAGCCTGCTTCAAAGGAGCCATTCAACTAGAGTAAAGGAAGTACCTTTATAGTAAGAGATGTAGTAAACGCTATGAGGAACCTCAGTCCCAAAAATCAGAATAAACAGATATACACTGTGTTCATGAAAGGCTTGGCCATGGTTAGTAATAATACTCAGGTAGTCTTTAAATGATGCTCACTTGGTACTAACCAGCCCAAAGTGTACCCCCCACACCATTACATCACCACCATCAACCTGAATCATGGATACAATGTAGACTGAATTCATGCTTTCATGTTGTTAACATCCAGTTCTGACCCTAGCACCCAAACATCATAGGAGAACTCGAGATTGGAAAAATGTTTGGTCTGATCAATCTACTATTGTCCAATTTAGGTGAGCCAGAATTGGATATCTCAGATAGTCTGACCACAGAACTGCTGCTCATTGGATATTTCTCTTTTTTGGATTTTATTGTTATAGAGACGGTTGTGTGGGAACATCCCAGTAGATCAGCAGTTTCTGAAACCTTCAGACGAGCCTGTCTGACACATACAAAGTGACTTAAAGTCACCTTTAAAGGTGACTCTAAAGCCAGCAGACCATCTTGACCATGTTTACATACCTAACTGCACTGAATACATCCATATATATACACCCACTCACCAGCCACTACTGAAACAAAGCCAGTAAAAAATCTCCTGTCTGGGATACGACAGGAGGTTTGTTACTTATGTGGCAATGGCTGAACTAAAGGTCAATTGCTACACTGTCTTCACACCAACCCCCAAAGTTTTAAAGGTCAACTGGCTTTCTGACAGACTAAAGAAGAAGAAAAAAAAAATGTATAACTTCAATCAAATAAATGTGCTTTATGCCTTATTCCTGACGTCAGACCAACACAAAGTGACAGATCTGCTTTTCAGCACATCACCACTAAGTGGTTCCAAACTGTAATCCTCTGTTCGCTTTCTAGACAGGGGGGCAATCGTGCCGCCTGACAAACACCAAGCAAAGTGGGGCCTATAAATCTCTGTTGTACGCGAGTGTCGTCAAACCTCCTCATGAAGCTTTCTACCCATTTGTTAAAAGCACAATTCTCCTTACTTTATATGCCATATACTCACATCCTAGTCACAGTGTGCCCTACATGTACTGTAAAGATGTGGCACTTCCACTAGCATACTTTACTTCTGCAGCGCCTGCTGAAATGGGTCAGACCACATCTACACTTCTGAAGGACAATACTCTAATTGGTGAAAGACCCTTTGAGCCATTAAGTGACATGATTCAGTATCAAACATGTGTGCAGTTACAACAGAATGTGAATACTGCCATGGACTGTGGACAGTAGAAAACAAGTATGACCAACAGAAGCATCTGGGGTGGGAGAATAGAAATGTGGGATTAGAGCTAATACAGCTTAACACGGGCAATCTCAGCACTGTAGAAAATATAATCCATTTTGTACATGTAGTAGCATTAGCTTAACGTGGCACCAGTAGATTTACCATGCTTGTTAAGACATTTTCTTCTTATTACATTCGTTTGTCAGAAATTAATCCAGTTTGTTTTATTGGAACGTTTAATGTTTGATTGATGAGATTCCAGTGAACGTCCTCGGCTTTCTTATTTAAAAAGCCTGATTAAGTCCTAGTGACATGACAGTTGTACCAGATTTGGATGAATACATTACTCTTAGTCAGTGCAATACTGCTATATTTAGGATTTATAGCAAAATATTAAACACCCTTGTGTTTTATTGGTTCTCATGCATGCTTAATTAACAAGAACAAGTCAACAAGACAGTTGCCTTATTAAAGGTTTTCAGGCAGTCTAAGTGTATATCATACAGTAAGCACAGAGTAGTAGTTTTAGAGTGATAATTTAAAATCAGCTGCTAAAAGAAGAAAGGAAATAATTTGGGTGCAACATAAAGAATGATTAAATAGTTAAACCCACAAACCTTTGCTTTGAATCCTTCCATTTATCTATTACCAGATCAAATGCATCCTCAGTGCAATTTAATCAATGCCTATCTATGCTCCTACTTGGCAGAATTAATTCCTTTATAAGATGATCTCATTATAAAGATGTAATGAGCAGTGTAGATTTCGGTGCCACTTCAAAGACGCTCAGTTTCACACTCCAAATACAGATCATTAAATCCACAGAAATGACCTCCGCATACTGATGAACAGCCCTCGCTGGCGCCACTGCTTTAGACCAACCCTCAAATCAACAATACACTAAGTAACATCAAATTAAATCGCTCCAAACTTCAAAACGCTTTTTGCCGCTTTGAACAACCGGCAAACACAGCCGGTTGTTCAGCTCACAATAAAAGGCAAAGCTGTAAATTTTATACAACAACAACAACAACAACTGTTTGTTTTGTTTTACCTGTGTAGATGCGAGAGGAAAGTGCTGTCGCTGTGTCTTCTTTTCCCGTTCTCGGATGCTCTGGCATATGGAAATGTGCGTGCGAGAGTGTATTCACACTATGCGAGCGTGAATACATGTATCTGCGGCTGAGCCAGTGAATATGAAAGCGCTTGGGTTCCCTCACTAAACGCACAGCCTTTCCCCTAGAGCGGGAGTGTGTGGATTCGAGTCCAAGAGTGTCTGCGTGTGTGCGTCTGCACTGATCTGCAGGCTGAATGCAGACCTAAGCATAAAAGCGGATCTTTCCTACGTCCTTCCTACAGACGTGCCAGTGATTACCACGCTGTCCTGGTGCTTCCCCAAGGGCACAGCACAGCCACCAAGACAAGTGGACAGGGACTGGTACACGCACGCGCCTGCATACGCACACACTCACACACACATTTTAAACCTGATTGGTGTGAAGGAGCTAACGTAAGGGGAGGGATTTAAGGATTTTGTAATCAGTCAGTATAATTTATTCAGCCAATAGGAGGAGAGTATGCGGGTGAAAGTATATGAATGAGAGGACGATTCATACATGCTCAGTGAGCTGCAGCTAATCTACAACAGTACCCTCTATTTACATCAAGTGGAGGGGTTACAGAAGACTGCATGCAGCTGACAGAATCAAAATACATCAGAATCACAGATTATACTGCATTAGATTAAACTCTTACACTATTTTAAATAATCTATAATAGATTTTCAAGCAGTACAATCCATCCAAAGATGATGGACTGTCTCAACTTGCCCTCCCCAAGAAGAGTAATATGCTCCTCTTACCTCTTCTTGCTTTGACAGCAGTTCAAGGCACAGATGGAGAGCAGAGCATGTTTCACTGGAAAGTTCACTCGTCTCTTTTGCTTTCAGCAGAAGTGTACCAGTCAACTCTTTATAAAAAAATAAAATGAATGTATCTGTATTAGCTTATACTGTACACAATATTATATATTTTAAAAAGGAATTAAACATCATTTTTCATTACTGGCATGTTTTTTTTTCACAATTAACTGAGTACATGTGTATTTATTGCAGAAGATGTGCACCCTGTTGAACTACTACTAAAAGGCCTAAAGAATGCCAAGAAAATATCCCCCACACAATTAGCCCAGCAGCACCAGCCTGAACAAGTTATTTAATTTGAATTTAATCTTTATTTAAAAAGGAAAAAATATCCATTGAGATGAGAAAATCTCTTTTACAAGGATGTCCTGGCCAAGATGAGAAGCAGCACAGTTTGCAAAGTGCAAAACAAGTTCCAAATCAAATTCCACCCATTTAAATTTTACAGGTACAGTTGGCGACTAAAACATCTGTCAGTTTTTACTTCAAAGTAGTTAAAGGGATAAGAGATTCCTGAGCTGCAGATCATTCCAAGATCACGGGCCGGAAAAAAAGATAGACTAAACTTTCCTCACTCCGTGCTCGCTAGGGACACTTTAAACTGCAGCCAGCTACTGGCTCTGAGATTGTAGGTCTTGTGGAGGGCAATGAACTTGGCGTAGGTATATGACAGCAATTTTCTTAGAATGGCTTTGCATGTAAAAATATCCCAATGCTTCAACCTTTGATTATTGAGTGAAGTAAATCCAGCAAGGGTTTACAAAGTGCAACGATGAGTCATGAAGTGTGAGCCTGTTATATACGTTACGGCAGCATGGTAAATGGGGTCTAATTTAGCTAAGGTTAAGGTAAGGTTACAGAAAGCAGGATGTAGCCATGCTTTCATGCCTCATCCTACCATATGAATGTTACAGCAGAAATCAAGACTCATTAGTCCAGGCAAAAATCTTCTTACCTTGTATTGTCCATTTTGTTGAGCCTGTGCGAACTGCACTGCGCTCTGTGTTCAGAGATGCGCTTGTCCATAAGTTAGTTGGAATGTGTTTTTATTTTAGTTCATTTGTGTGCCTGTCAGCTCAAAGCAGTCTGGCCATTCACTTCAGTACTGTATCAACATTTCTGCCCACAGACGTGCTCTTCACTGGATATTTTCTCTCTCCCTGGAGACGGTTATGTGGGAAAATCCCAATAGATTCCAACATACACAAACCAGCCTGTCACACACAAAGTGACTTAAAGTCGCCTCTCTTCCCCATTCTGATGAATAAGAAAGGCTATCTTGAGCATGTCTACATGCCCAAATGTACTAAGTACCTGCCATGTGATTGGCTGATTAGATACTTTCACTAATGAGCAGTTAAACAGGTGTAGCTAATGAAGTGGCTGCAATTTTCTAGAACAAAATTTAATTCTACATTTTGCATTGAGGTCTGGTATCCCAGCCGCACATGCTTTTTCCACAGCAAATGATATAAATGGTTGGTCATCTTGATAATTTTCTGTCATTTACCAGCCTGAATAATCATTTTTGAACAAGTCTAAAAATACTCTCCTAAAATATCTCGGCACAGTAATAACTGGATATGTCTGAAGCACTTACCATAATTCTCCTCATTCTTCGCCATGGACAGAAATGTTGACACTTCACTCTCCAATTTTTGCTGGAAGGCCCTGGCTGCCTGCAACAATTTTAGACAAGAGAGAAACTTAACACTAGAACTCTGTACAACTCAACAAAACTGAGGGTTTTGAAATCCTATATGGCTCAAACCCAAAGGTCAATGACACTGAAGTTCATCCGGCGCGTGATCCATCACAATTCACAGGTTAATGTAATTTTTGAAAATGCTACGTCGATATGAAATGAATCAACTTTTTGGGTTCGATATAATAGTGCTATAAACCATCTGATCATCATCACCTTACTTTTTGATCCCGGTCTTACCTGAAGCGCTTGTTCAAGGTTCCTCACTCTCACATCACCCGCAGCATAATCTATAATCACCTCTTCAGTGTCGTGGCGAGTGCAGTAGGATGCATGCTCTTCAAAAGCATCCAGCCATCTCTAACAGAATAAATGGCGGCAACATTTCCATATTAGTCCTTTCATACAGATAATACTGTTTCTTCCATAAAGAAGGTGACCAATTTTATCTCACTTTTCTTGTTGCCACGGCATTTGTCTGCGAGGGGACTTTAAAATAATGCACAGAGTCATCGAAGCACCTGAGCATGAAGAAGCAGTGATCCCATGGTTTGACCTGGAATAACAAGAAATCACTAATGCACTGCAATCACTGCTGCAATAGATACAGTATAACTCAACATCATGCTTCAAATTGAAAATAAATGAAACATGTATTTACTGAGCATCTGTGGGGTAATATAGATTGATAGAAAACACGCCTCTAAACCTCCAGTACTTACCATGCAGTAGGCTTGTGAAAGAGACTTACAGCCCTGTTTCCTAACACCAGCCAGTGCATCAGCTCTAAAAAAACAAAAACAACAACAAAAATGATGAAAGAGCGTGCAGAAAAATCACACACAAACACACACTCACAGTGAAAGATAAAGCAGCATTAACAGTTACCACTTTTAAGTAAGTATTAACGGTATAATTGGCAAACCACAGGCGACGTCATCTCCAGTAACAGTTATTTTTATATCCCCTCTCTCTTTTTAAAAAAACAAAACATTTCATTAGTGGATTATAAGCAACATTTCACACAAAGTGAAATATATAATACTATAAATATACATACTATAGCGTTTAGCTTTATAAAATCGGCTGATAAAAGTATCTCACTGTCTAGGGTACCAGGAGACAGTTCCATTCTCAACTACAACCCAGTGGGAACGCCATCCGAGGAAGCGTGAGCTCTGTCAGAGAAACAATAATTTAACAAATACCCCACGCAGCAAAACTACACATCATCATTACATATCTAGTTTAAATGACTTTAGAAAGAACAAATATTATCAATTTTAAAGTTTTATTATTATTATTATTATCCCAGAGTGGTATGACTTTTCTTGTAAATTAAAGTGTAGCATGTTAAGAAAAACAAAAGAATAAATAGTTCCTATAAGTCTTTTTTTTAAAGAAGTTCAAATATTCTGTGTCATGTAATGTGAAAAAAGTCAATTTCATCAAATTGTAAAGGTCAAAGTCTGAACATGGTCTGACCTAATAATAGTACAACATAAATCCAGATACCTTCCAAAGAGGTCCTTCAATCTTCTGCACCACACTGCTCATGACCTTTAAGAAAAATGAAATATCAGTCTTGTGTACAGCGTTGAATAGTCTGTGTGTGAATCATTCGTTTTTAATATACTAACAGCATTAGCGCGCAGTCGTCTTAAAAGAATTGCACCATGACTACGTGGTGCTCCACATTAACGCTGCATTATCAGACATACGGATACGGACGTATTTATTCTTAATAAAAGCTGACTTTTTCCTCTACAGTCACCATAACTGTGTGAACACATGAAAACATACGAAGAGAAAGTGCCGATATGATGTAGTTCAGAGAACTGCAGTATCTGTGATTAATGTGATGGACTTTAGATTTTTTTTTTTTTTAAAGTGCCTTTTGGTTTTATGAACACGTTTCCAGTGATGGGCTCTTTAACCCTGTGAGAAACAAGAATGAGCACAGTAAATTTCATCAAGTTGGATTTGCAGTTTTCCCAGATAAAATTTGGTGAAAAAAAAAAAATTAAAAAAAAAAGACAAGACACAAGTACTGCGCAAAAGCCTCGAGTCAAATTTCATGGCTAATAAAAGGGGAAATTTATTGAATGCATTGAAACGTGCAAATGTAAAAGAAATCCAGGATATAAGGAAAAAACTGTTTATACAAATAAAATAAATATTTGGTATGACAAACTTTATTCTGAACTCTCTTGGGAAAGCTTTCCTGTTATTTCTTTAAGCAGTCTTCAGGAATAGTTCTCCTGGCTTCTTGAAGGACATTCAAAGCTCTTCTTTGGACCTTTTGTTCCATCCTCTGCCAAGATGATCCCACACTACTTAAATAGTGTTGAGGTCTGGACTCTGGGAGGGTCAGTCCATGACAGATTAAAAAAAACAAAATCAAAAACAAACCAAAATGCAGCATCATCTACGTATGTTGCCAATCAGACATTTCCACTTCATGCATGGTGGACCAAAGTCTGACGATATTTTGCTCTGTACCTATCTTCTATCGATTTTTGCAAGACCTCTAACACCACTGGCTGAATTGCAGCCCCAAACCATGACAGAGGCTCCCGGTTGTTTTACCTCCTCCGTACACACTGATGACAATTTGAACTTGAATTTGGATCCATCAGCCCATAAGACCTGTTACCTTTAAGTTTCAGTTCACTTCCTGTGTAACTAGTCGCACTTCAACCTTTTCTCCTGGTTTCTCTTTATTAAGACACACGTCTTGACAGCCACCCTTCCAACTTCTTCTTTCCACTTCTGATGGGACTTCAGTGAAAAGTGAAGGGCCGGTCTAGGTCCCAATTTGTTTTAAGAATATAACCTTTAGAAACTGTTCATATACGCTTAGACAACTTTTTTTAGCCTGACATTTTCTCTTTTGTCTTGCACTTGCCTAGTCGCCTCATTTTTTTCCCCCTGATATGTCACGTTTTCAGCTGGCACGAAAAAAAAAAAAAAACTATTTTATGCGTGTCAAACTGTTATCTATGACATGTTTTGCAGATCCAACTAATGAAATGGGATCAACTGATGCCCCTTGTTACAGGCTGCTAGTAACAAAGTGCCTAAAGATATAACTTAAATTATTGTTTATCTGTAAACACAACAATTCATCCCTTGGATTAGATGTATTTATAAAAAACAGCAAATATCTAAAAAACAAATTACCCAAAAACCCCCAAAACATTAAGAAAGCCTGGAGAACTATTGCTGAAAACCACTTTATAAGAAAAATTACAAGAAAGCCTGGCTCCTTGGAAATAAAATATAAAGAAATGAGGGGCAGCTCAAGTACTCTAATTAATCAAGTAACCAAAAAGGTATCATCCTTTGTGGATCACGACTAAGACACCATACTTGTAATGCAGCTGTGCCGAATGTTCTTAGCAGAACCCATCCTGATCATTCAAAGCAGATGAGACATTACAGACCAGCCATTTGAGCTCACCTTATTTTTATAGGCTGCTAGAATCTGTTTCAGTTCATCAGTGCAAACCAGGTCCAATGCAGTCTGAGCTGCAAAATCATCAGCCATACAAACAAATTATTATGCACCTTTTGACACTTCCTTGGAACAAAACCGGTGGACTATAGTATTTACCATCCTTAGAAAATAACGTGTGATTCTTAAACAACCATTTTAAACACCACTGAACAAATTAAACAGCCGGAATAATAGGAGCTGATGATGAGAACAAGATAAGTGATATACCATTGTTGTTCTTGATACTAGGGTTGGCTCCACACTTGAGCAGCTTTATAACGCACTGCTTCTGCCCCCTGTAGGCTGCACAGTGTAAAGGCGTATTACCCACTGAATCCCTGCAGTGGATATCTGGAGCATCTTTCCCATTGAGCTGAGGGATATAAACCAGAGAAATGACAGAAACAACAGGCAGGAAAATGAGGTTAACCTTTTACATACATCTATCTGAAACATGCATAAAACTATTTAAATGATCAATCTTAAAAACAGCAAGACAGAATGAGATTTAAAAAACAAAAAAAAACCTGAACTGGCTTTTACTGCAAGTTGCCACATGCCATCTTATTTGTGGACTCAGATTTGTCACTTTGTGATTGAACATCAGACCCCCCGAACTCTGTACAAATATCGAATCGTAAATGGTAAATGGTAAATGGCCTGTATTTATATAGCGCTTTTCTAGTCCCTAAGGACCCCAAAGCGCTTTACATATCCAGTCATCCACCCATACATTCACACACTGGTGATGGTAAGCTACATTGTAGCCACAGCCACCCTGGGGCGCACTGACAGAGGCGAGGCTGCCGGACACTGGCGCCACCGGGCCCTCTGACCACCACCAGTAGGCAACGGGTGAAGTGTCTTGCCCAAGGACACAACGACCGAGACTGTGCAAGCCGGGGTTCGAACCGGCAACCTTCCGATTACAAGGCAAACGCCCAACTCTTGAGCCACGATCGTATAAAGAGTATTTGTAATAACGGTGGTGCATTTCAACAATCTCTGGGAGACAACTGAAGTGTGTGCAAGGCCCCAAGGCACTTGTTAAATGTGTGAAATTTGGAGAGATGCTCTTAAAGCATACTATTTTCTGCCAAAAGTTCTTTGAAAGGTCAGACACTAACCAATTTAGACAGAGTGGATATATCCCCCTCTCTGGCTGCTTCCAGAAGCTTCTCCTCATGCCGCCTTGCCGCTCTCCTCTCTGCAGCTGCACAAACCAAATCAGTACTTGAGAACAAAGGCAGCTGATCTTCAGTAATGAGAAGCCATCAGACGTTAAAAAAAAAAAAAAAAAAAAAAAAAAGAAAAACGCTCCCATGATTTCATACCCTCAAGCATGGTAATGATTTCATCATCCTCTGTGACATCTTTGGGGATTTGAGCAGTTCCATTGATTATGTTGGCACAGGCATCATAGCGCAGAAGCAACAGAACAATCTCCTTAAGGGTCCAAAGGGTGGGGGTGGGGGGGGGATTAAAGAAAAAAACCTGACCATCACATTTCACTCAAAAGCTTCAGTGGGAGATGAGAAAATATATTATGTGTTTCTGTGACAGCTGATCCAGCTGACATTAGGTTAGAAGAAGAAGGTACACCACAGTTTACCGTGCTTTTACAGACTTGTAAGGAAGCACTACTTTTTCCCCTCTCTATCCTTACCTTTCGTCCAGCATATGCTGCTTTATGCAGAGGTGTGTCACCCAGGTTATTCTGCAAATTCACATCAGCCCCTGCCTGCAAATGCATTCTTTATTAGGTGAATATAAAAATGTCTCTGGCTGCAGGTCCTGAACACAAAAAGCATGATAATGATGTGACTCATACACTGCTCTCACCTTCAGTAACTCCTCAACAACATCTCTGTGTCCAAAGCTGCAGGCCAAATGAAGAGGTGTCCATCCCGAGCAGGTTTTCGAACGAGCTACAGCGAGAGAAAGAAAAAGAAGAAGAAAAAATAAAATAAAATCAGCAATTTTCTAGTTACATGTGACATTAGGGCAGCTGGATGATGGCATCCTCCCCCACACACCAGCTTACATCTGCAGTTGATGTTGAGAGAGCTGTTTTGGTGAATCCTCGACTGAAGGAGCCTCTGAACCTGAGGACAGTTGCCCTCTTTAGCATGAAGGAGAAGTTGTTCTTCCAGTGTGCAATCCTCCATCACTGGACTTATGAAAAATGATGTTAAACACAAGGCAGTTAGCTCAAATTGGTCAATTAACCACGTTAAGCAAGGTGCAGTTAATACAGCTTCTCATCTGCAAGTGAAGAATTTAAGGTTTTAGTTAGAGGTCGACATAATATCTGTTTTTATTTACGTTTGTCCAGCTCAACTGTGTTTTTATTGAGCTAAAGCAGCGTTACCTTTCAAACTAAGAGCGGAAGTAACTCTAAATAGTTATCTTACTAACGTTGGCGAGGATAAAATGTTAAACTCAGACTTACGTGTAGCTATGGATTTGAAACTCTTTCACAATCTTTGGTCTGCTTCACAGGGACAACACGCCACGGCTGAAATCTGATCGGTTCAATCAGGTGACAGGCAGCCGCCACGTGACCGGACAGAGTATTTTTGAGTAGCTACTAGCATTAGTCATACCTAGCAAGTACTGGGTTGGACCCCCTTTTTGCGTTCATAACCTCATTAATTCTTCCTGGTATAGTTTCAACAAGGTGTTGGAAACCTTCCTCAGACGGTGGTCCATGCTGACATGTGCACTGTCTTGCTTGAAGCTGCCATAAGAAGATTGGTACACTGTGCCCATAAAGAAATGGACATGGTTAGCAACAGTACTGAGTTACGCTGTAGTGCTTAAATTGTACTCAGTTGTTGCAAAGGAGCCCAAAGTGTGCCAAGAAAATAACCACCCACACCATTACACCACCATCAGCATGAACTGTTGATAGAAGGAAGGCTGGCTACACGCTTTCATGTTGTTTTACACCAAAACAAATCCTGACCCTTACGAATGTTGCTGTAGAAACCAAGATTCATTAGACCATGCAACATTTTTTTCAGTCTTCAATTGTCTAATTTTGGTGATTCCGTGTGAACTGTCCCCTCAGTATCCTGTCCTTAGCCAACAGGAATGGCACCTGGTGCGGTCTTCTGCTGCTGCAGCCCATCTGCTTCAAGGTTCCACCTGTTGTGTGATCAGATATTCTCTTCTTATATGAGCCACTTTTGACTTGGCCTCTGACATTAACAAGGAATTTCTTTCACAGAAAACTGCACCTGATTCTGGTGCTATTCTCTGTAAAGCCTAGAGATGGCTGTGTAGGAAAATCCCTAAAATACTCAAACTAGTTCATGCTACATGCTTTTAACATCTCTCTTCAGTTGTGACTCTTTTCTTAGTAGCGGCATCATACTCTTGACAGTTTACTGTCATGTCTTATGTCCTAGTTTCTGCAACTCAATTTTTCATTCAGTATTTCTGTTGTTGGTTTCTATACTGTCATTATTCTGTGTTATAATGACATCCACAACAACAGTATCATACAGTAACACAAGGTCAATGTTATTTCAGTAATGCAAGACGGCTATTACTTTACAGGCAAATGATTAAAAAAAACTACAACTTCAAAGTAAAACATATTAATCTGATTTTATTCATATCCACAAACCTCATATGGCAATGTTTTTTTTTTTTATCTTTCTCTACAGTGTGTCAGGTGGAATTGCCAGCCAACATCTATGACATTTGTGAAATAGCACAATGCTGAAAATAAATACAAGTAAACAGCCCAGAAAACAATATTTTAATTAAAGATAACAGACACGAGGTTGCAGTTAAAGATATCTTAGTTTTCCACACTGACATTTATGAAACACTGCGAGACAGATGTTAACATGAAAGTTCATATTAAAATGATAAACAGTATTAACAGTAACAGTAAACAAGCATTATCAGTGTGGATTGTACCAACAATTAGACATGAAACTATTCCTGAAACAATGTCATACTTTCATCCTTTCCCTTGAAAGTATGTGCTTCATTACATATACAGTATAATCCTAAATCACGCCGTTACATGCAGCGTGCAGTATTTGCAAACGGTGTCCCAGTGGAATATGTCTGTTCCTGCAAAGTGTTAATGAACTGGTCTGACCAAATTATTCCCTAGATGTAGGTATTTGCTGGAGCAGGTGAGTCTGCACAAGTGTGTCATTGCTGAAACCCAGAAACACAAAACAGTTACATTGTTTGAGAGAAAAAAATGCAATGGTACCATACCACTGTTCTTTTAAAGGTCATACATCTTAGATATTTGTTACTTTATTATTCTATATAGCTACAAACATTTTGAGGCATTGAAGGTCAATTCTCTGTGTGTGGCTTTAAAGGCTCTGCTTATCTCAAGCAATTAGGTCCCCTGAGGTATGTGCACATTTGTGAGTAAAGGTGATAGGGTCGTGCTGTAATGAAGGTACATGTCTGCGAGAACTTCAAAGATAAGTTGCTTAGTCTTCGGCATAATGGAGGTATATTTAACCTCAGTCACCTGGAAGAAATGGGGGTGTAGGGACTGGGGGAGACGACGACACAAAAACCCAATGAAATAAATTGTGAGGTTGAATTGCATTTATAAAAGCATCGCAAAGTTTAGCTAGTTGAGTTTGAATAACCTCAACAACGTGTTCTGATCTTTAAAAAAATGTCAGGGCTTTGTTATGCAAGTTTTTTTTTAAAGAAATGTGGGCAACTCAGCTGTGCCTTAATTGTTGTTGAATCTGTCAGAGCAACAGCAGAAATTATTCAAGGGTAACAAGACATGGAAATCAACACAATTATGTCAAACGAAGACAATCAAAACTTCTCTGACAAAGAGTTGGAACAAAAAAAGGCAAATGTTCTCCGCACATTAACTCTGTGCTCCTGCCTAGCAGAAGCAAGCGCTGCCGTTTCTTTTCATCCTGAGAAAATACACTCTACGTTTTACTTGTTAACATATATCCTTCATTATTATTGGTTAATTATAAGGTCTTAAAATTTATGGAAACATCACTGCAGACATTAATCAAAGCATATTCATCAAATCAGGTCTGGTGAGGGAATGAAGCGCGCTGGGCTAGTTCCTGCTAATTAGCATGGCAATTATTGTAAGCTGTCACAGCTCTTAAGCAACGGGGTGGACTGTGTGTGCTCCAGAGTGTAATCCCTCACAAATTACAAGATAATGGAGGCAAAGAGAGGCCACTGCTTCAAAAGGAACCAGGAGATAGAATCCCCAGCAGGGACATTTTAGGGACAGGCAGAGAGAGACAGCGAGTGAGGGAAAAGGTAGGGGGAAAAGAACAGCGTGTATTCCCTTCACATACAGCAGCATGAATAGCAGAAGCTTATTTGACTGCCTGGTAAAGTGATTGGCTCCAAAGGAAACAGAGCTCAAAGACTGTTCTTCTTTTAACTCACAATGTGTCATTTTGAATGTTAAACTGTTCTCTGAAACGTTTTTTAAGATAATGGCAATCAATAAGTGACTCTGGATTCTGTTGTGTTTTATGCAGTCAAGAATGCTTCAGCTAATAAGGAGAGATCAAAAGTCCCCTTTGTCTGAATGCAACACGGGGACTGCTCGACTGTGGTGCAGACTGGTACAAGCTTCTTCTAATGTGCATTTTTTGCGCTTTGCAAGCATCAACCTTGCGGGGCACCAGACAGTACTGTCCACTTTCCCCCTTTGTGTTATTTTTTATCAAACCATTAGCAGGAGAAATCAGATAAAATGTAGATATCAAAGGAGTTCAACCTGAAAATACAGATCCTATGATAAGCCCATATGTTGATGGTGTATTATTTTTCCTCAGGAGCTCACAAACCTCACTTATGAAGACAACCACACTTATACATAAGTCTCATCTATATCGGAATACTCCATCAACTGGAATAAATCAACAGGTGAGGTAACATTAGATATCTAGGTATAAGTTTTTATACCAAGCTCTCAGTCCTGGTACGGTTGAATCATATTCCTTTATTAAAAATGGTAATAATAATAATGGATTGGATTTATATAGCGCTTTTCAAGGCACCCAAAGCGCTTTACAATGCCACTATTCATTCACTCTCACTCTCACATTCACACACTGGTGGAGGCAAGCTACGGTTGTAGCCACAGCTGCCCTGGGGCAGACTGACAGAAGCGAGGCTGCCATATCGCGCCATCGGCCCCTCTGGCCAACACCAGTAGGCGGTAGGGTAAAGTGTCTTGCCCAAGGACACAACGATCACGACAGAGAGCCCGGGGATCGAACCGTGTGTCATTAGTGGGTGGGTGAGAGTGAGTGAGTGAATGGTCTGTATGAGTGAGTGTGTTGGGCTGGGTCTGGGTCTTTCTGAGCTTTGGCCCCTGTGGGACATGGTCACTGCTCCCTGCTGAACACTCCTGCCCACTCCCTTGGTGGCCCGCTTCTCCTCTTGGGGCGTGGGGGTTCTGCCAGGTGCCAGGTGGTTCTGGTACCCGGCAGTGGTGCGAGTAAAGAACAGGGCTCCAAGTGGTTCTTGGGCACTTGGAGCCCTGTTCTTGACTCGCACCACTTGGAGCCCTGTTCTTGACTTGTACCAGGCAGCCTCTAGTGGGGTAAACTCTCACCTTTTGTCCTTGGGCACCCCATCTTAGGCTTCCCTCGTTCTCCTGCTTGGACGGATATGCAGATGTTGCTGAGATGTGTGGCTTTAGGTCTCTGGTACTCTTGGGGGCTGCCAATGGCGTGGGTTTCCTGATTCCTTCTCTGTCTGCCTCTGGCTCCTGGGGGGGCATTATTGCGACACTCCACCCTCATTATCAAGTACATTCGCGAGAAAGACACAGGCACTCTCACTTTCTTGGCTCTCTGTATCATATTCACACTCACACTACAAGAAGATTGTCGATTTATGTATCTGTGTATTTTGTAAATTTTGTGTTCCAGGTGCTGTATGTTTGATTTTTCTTAGAGGTGCAGCAGTTGGCGATACATTGTGCATTTCTATTCTTACTCTATCCTTTTATTATATTTTCCCCCATGCTCCCTGCTTGTGCTGCCTTAGACATTGTCATACCATACCACATATAATGTAATACCTGAAATAAAGAAAATAAAGTTCTTGCAAGCAGATGTCTCATCAATGTACAAGACTGCCAAAAATACACACAGCACTTTGCATCTGCAGCATTCCTGCTGTACTGTATGTAACAGTAGATTCAGCAATATTTAAGAGCGTATTAAGAGGTGATCTGTATATCAACGTGTACTGTATCTACATAAGGAGGAATTCTTAGTAACAAGTTGTGGAAATACACACAGGATCCCATCATCAGGATCAAGATCGGGTCAGGATCACAAAGCGTGGACCGCATGGAAATCAAGCCCAGACAGAGCATTTATCATAAATTATTGCAATCAATTAAAGGATGACTCATCAACCGAGTGCATGCATCGATTCTCAAAAAAAGTGAAGCTTCCAAATTGTCTCTTGATTGACTGAACCTCCGTGGATCCTTAGGTTCAGCTGTGTTTATTTTCACAAGGTTGTT